CATCCCCACCTAGTGCCGGCCCGGCGCACCGGCCGCGGCCAGCCCTGGGGCTCCCCGGGCTCCCCGGGCTCCCCGGGACCCTGGCATCTCCTGCACGCCCCCGGCTGAACCCGGACACCCGTGGCACGGCCCTACGGGGGATTTTTGTGCCCCGGCCCGGAGGGATGCTCCGGGGTAAAGGAACTGTGGGAGGAAATGAGCTGATGCAGCCTTTGCGCTGCTCTAGAGGATGGGGACAGGTACAGGCTACAACGGATCCCACGTCTGCTGGGGCTGTTGGCCTCCTCAGGCCCCATCCTGTGGCCCGGAAAAAAGGCACTCCCCCCTTTCCAGGAGGGGAAACCCAGCTGGGGACGAGGGAAAGGGCTACATCCCATCCCCAGTCACTAAGTTTGTCCCGTCCCTCTGGTAATCACTTTGGGGATGCTCCCACACGTCACAGGTTTGGAGTTCTTAGTGTCATTTCTCAAGGACACATCACCACGGACCCCACAAACCTCAATGCCTGGAGAGCATCACCTCCCTCTCCCCACTCCAGACCCTGTAAGCACCAGCTGTAGATATGTAGGGCCTTGAGCAGTTCCCCCTGTACCAGGTCTGCTCTTGTCCTCCTCCTGCCCATCACAGACTCCCAAAGCCACAATGTATTTAGATTTTCCTTCACCCTGTTGCACCTCAGATCCACAAACAGCAGCCCTGTCCCTGTGGCCAAGGGCAGTTCTCTCTGCCCAGGTGCTGTCCAAGCCAGCCAGGGCATCCAGAAGTATCTTCTCACCTGGAACAAGGAGGTGAGCAGTCATCCTCTGCTCAACCACACCAGCCTCCCTGGGCTTGAAACATCCTCCATCCAGTTTAATTTTGATTAGATGGACCCTCTACATGTTGCTGCACTCAGTCCCTGGAAGGAATTGGTCTTTGCACTGACATTTTCTGAAGTTTTGCTCTTTTTTTTTTGTGCTTTACCAACCTTTGTCTGGCTCCACCCTCCCTGGCTGTTGCATAGACACTTTCCTCAGCTCTCTCTCTGGTGCTGTGGCCTTGCTGTCCCAGCCCCACAGGAGACACCAAGGTCCCCTAGAGTTTCCCCATGGCTCAGGGGTACTCAGAGGGAGGATGCTCTGCAGGGGGATGCTCCTGCTTGCCCATGGAATCCTATGGAAATCTGGGAATATGCTCCTGAAAACCACAGGAAAGCACAGGAAAGATAGACTGCAGGAGAGGAAGGAGGAAGAAAGGAAGATTAAAGGGTGATGTGGCCTCCTTCTTATTTCCTGATGAAACAAGGAAAAAGCCCAACACTGCTGCTATTTTTTCTTGGAAAACCCCTTGCAGCTCAGCCCTGAAAGCAGGATTCAGCAGCTTGGCGCAACTCAAACGTTTCCTCTGCTGCTTTAAAGAAAATGTTGGAACAGAGCAAGCTTAAATCCTGCTGAAGAGGCCCATTTATCTGGGAACTGAAAGAAAATATTGGGATAATATTTAGAAAAGCCTGTGAATGGGCATGGCTCAGCATGTGCTGGGCAGCAGCAACCTGCAAGCTGCAGGGGGAGAAGCCACCCTCTGCGTGTGGTTAATTTTCCCCTTTTCCCTCATTTCCTTCCCATTTCCTTCCCAGCTCTGAAAGGTTTTGCCGTGCCTAGGTGGGTCCTTGACGTGTTTCCCCCAGGAGAGTGGTAGTGCTGGAAGGAAAAGGGATTTTTCATGAGCAGGGTGGGCACAAACCCTGCCCAGTCTGAGTATCTGGGGGAGCTGATGGGGAGAAGGTGTTTCTTTCCCCTGGTTAACAACTGAGGCTGATCTGTAGGACACACTTAACCAGATATCACTAAAAACAGGGTTGATTCCTGACTAATTGGTCAGTAATAACCATTTAATTGGCAAAGCTGCACTGAAGCTCCAGCCCTCCCTTCCCAGAGCCATTAGCAGCATCTATTTTAACATTTGGAGCCTGGCTTGGATTCAATAAATGGGGTTTTGTTGGGTTTTTTCGTATTTAAAAACATTAACGTGTGTTCAGAATTCAGCTGGACATCTCATTTAGCTTTGAAGCATAATTATGCTTGATGAGGACTAATAAGCAGCTTTCAAATCGAGATCAGGTTAGCATCTCTCCTGCTGTCTCCTGCAGGGAGGCCAATATTCCACAACAACTGATTTTTATGGGACTAATCCAGATATGTCCAGGGCTCTATAGAACCCTGCTTTGTCTTTGACTGGCTATAAAAAAAAAAAAAAAAGTTATTTTTCCACCTAGGATGAGTTTTTATTGTTGTGGAGTTTTGCTCCATGTGGGATTTCCACCTTCTGTGGGTCTCAGATCTTTTGCATGATGCAAAGGGTGATTTGCTGAAAACAGCCTTTTTTACTCCCCAGCCTCCTTAGGAAAGAAAATTAACACTGGAGTGGATTTTTTTTCAATGTGACTAAAGGAAATTAAATTTTCAGCCCCAAATTCTGGTCCCAAGCCTTGAGACCTTGATGTTGGCTTGAAGTCTGGCTGTGGGCTGAAGCAGATGTTGCCAGTCCCTGGCACAGATGATGGCTGATGGTTGAATTGGTGTCGAGGTCGGCCCTGCTCCAGCACCAGCGCCTGCCCTAAGGTGGAGCTGCTTCTCTTTCAGCATCGTGGCCACCCAGAGAACACTGGATCCAGTCTGGTCACCCAAATACCGCCTGCCTGCAGCATCTGAGCAAGGCTCAGACAAAAGAAAACCCATCCAAACTGTGGGTTTATGTTTGTTTTCCACGCTCCCTTGTTGAAATTCCATGTCAAAGGTAAGCTCGCTTGGAGATTAGGCTTTGGAAAGTCTTGCTATGCTTCTGAAACCTTAAAAAATGTCCTTGGTGAGCTCTGCCCTGGGATGGGGAGTGAGTCCTGGTCCCAGCTTGCCAGGGGATGAGGGTACACAAACCCATGGGACACTCCCTTCTCCACCAAAAATTGTCCCTTCCCAATGGAAGGAACATGTCCCAAAGGACAGGGGACCCTCCTGTCCTTTGCCAGCCGAGCCCCTCCACTGTCCCACAGGATCACTCCCACAGCTGTCTCTCTGGCAAACCCCAAAGTTGCTGCTCTAAGGCCCCCCACATTCCCAGCTGAGTCAAAATACTCTCAAAATCTAAAGGTGGCAAAGGAGAAAACTCCTCCTGTCCTGTTCTGTCACAGTTCTGGGGGCTGGTAGGGGAGTTAATGGCCACCAGCCAAAAGCTGTTGAGGAAAAACCTTCAGTTGTAAGCACTTGGTGCTTGGGCAGCCCTCCTGCATTTTTTTCTAAGACATTATGTAGCAATTAAAAAGCTGCAGGTAAATGCCAAACCCCAAATCCTGGCAAAGGTGCCAGCTGCTCTGCAGTCAGGACAGACCCAGCCACTGACTCCAGGCTGACCATGTTCCAGCTTTAAATAGCCGCTTTTCAGGGACAGGTGTGTCATGGCAAACTTTATTTTTCTGGAAACAGCAAGCACATTGTGCAGGGCAGGCTTTCCAAGGATGCTCCCCACACCCTTTTCAGGAAATACCGTGCAGCTCTCCTTCGTGCCATGCCAGTTTGGTTTTTTTTTTTTTAATTGGCATAAATGATAGCCTCAGCAAGAACACACCGTGTTTTCCCTGGGCTGTCGGATTTTATTTTGAAATCACTGCTGGTTTGATCTTTGCATCTCTCCACCCCCAGGCTCATCACTCTCCTCTTGTGTTTCTGCTCCTGGTGTTTGCTCCAGAGCAGTGGGGTTTGCTGGGAAGTGAAAATGCAGTGGGGAGGCTCATCCTGTGCCTGTCACAGCTGGGTCCTTGGCATATCACCCCACCTGGGGGTGAAATAGGAAAGTTGTGTTTGATCTGACAAAGCCACCATAGAGAGCAGACAGCAGCTGTCCCTTCCTGGTGATCCCCAGCCCCTTCTAGGAGCCCAGATTTTGATACCAAGTCCAGCCCTGAAGCCATCATTCCAACAGCAACAGCCATGCTTCCTTTGGGGGAACCTGAAATAGCCTCCCCCTGTGTGGTGACAACACGTCTGCCACGTGGCACCGGTGTAACCGGCTCTTCCAAGACCTGCTCTTCCAGGGGTGCGGTTGGGTTGGTTTGGTTTATTACCAGCACCCTCTTGGTTCTGATGCTTCTCCCTGGTACAGTGCTCTCAGATGAATTGGGATGGTGGGAACTACCAGGAGAGGATTCCTATTTCACATGTGGGATGGGTGCCACCAGGACACATCCCTGTGGTCCCCTCTCTGTACCAGCACCCTCTCCAGATGAAGCATCTCCCCATTCTACCACCCTTCACTTGGGCATTTCCTTCCTTATCCTAATTTCCAACATAACAATAAACCCCAAACCTATTTGAGATGGGTGAAAAGGCTTGGGTTTGCTCCCTTTTAGTTCAAGTCCAGAACACAGTCAATTATCTTTGATTGATTTCCCCACCCTATGACTGTGTGTGCTGGGCCCAGCAGTCTCCAGAGCAGCCTTCAGCCACCGAGCTTCAATTGATTCTAAACTTCAGGATCCACATTTTGGATATTTTTTTCAGGCCTGAGTCCATAATGGGCCCTTTCTCTTTTATTTTTTATTACTAGAATTTTTACTAGGATGACATTTGGACTAGGCAGGGAAATCTTCTTGCCTGCTACACCGGTACCTGACAATCAAGATTTAATCTTTCTGGAGAGGAGGAACGCATCAGATGGAAAAAAAAATTCTTATATCTGTGAAATTGCAGAAAAGCGCAGCAGGAGAAGCCTGTGGGAAATCTCCAGCCCAGCCTGGAGCAGCACAGTGACTGCACAAGCCTTGACCATCGCTGGACAGATGTTGGTCTAATTACAGCTAAAACCTCTGGTGCTGGGGATGCTCTGCTCCCTGTACCCCGAGTGTATCATTGCAGCCAGGCAGCCTCTCTAATCCCCAATTTAAATCCCTTTGGCTGCTGACTTCAGTGTTTGGAAGAGGTGCTGGATGGCAGAAAAGCACCGGCACATCCTCCTTGGTGATCCCTTTGGTTCTGAACTCTTCCACCCTGGCAGGAGTGCTTTTTTCCCTGTAATTTTCCCCATTTCTCCCTGTGAGCTGACAGGGATCAGAGATTTATAAAGTGGATGTTTCAAGAATTTGGAAATTACTTTCCCTGTATCTGCAGCGTTGTGACCAGGGCTGGGCACCAACAAAGAGCTGCTTGTCCACACCTCCTTGGGCCTTGCTCCACCTCATCCCCTCCTTCCTCTCCATCACATTTGATGTCACCTCTTCAGACTGAAAGCTTAATCCAGATTTAGAAAGGGAAGGAAAAAGGCAGGGACAGGATTTTTCCAGTGAGCACGGATCTCCTGGGAATTCACCCAGGGCTTTCCCAGCTGCAAAGCTGGTGGCTGCTGCACGCTGACAGCAGCAGCGGCATTGCCAGAGCCCAAGTGCTGCTGTGACACATCAGCCGTGGGGATGAAGCTCCACGGAGGCTCCAAATTTTTATTTTCCACTGGCAAGTTTCACTGGCAATTCACTTGTGTGCAGGATTTTACCATTAACATCCCCAAAACCATCTGGCCACTAGTTAGTCTGGGGTTATATTAACACCTAAAAGGGAAAGCAGAGAAAAAGAAAATAGATTGAGATGAGTGAATATAAATGTGTCGTGGTTTAACACAGTTAAAATGGAAGAACACTGATTTCTCTTGCAGATTTACAAGTCCCTGGAGGGGAGCAGGGACTGCAGCCGAGAGCCCGCTGCTTTGCCATCGCTTCTGTGTGCTGGAGTGAGCCGGGGCAGCTGCCGGATGACGCTGGAGGCATTGTGCTGCCGGACAGGTTTGAAGGCTGGTGTTAATGAGCTGGTGTTAATGGGCTGGTGTTAATGGGCACCCTGATGGTGACAAGTCAGCACTGGAGCCGAGCCGTGCTGGGGCTGGGGGTTCTTCCACGTGGCTGTCACCGGAGAGGGAAGAGTCAAGCTGCAGTAACTCCCCGGTGCAGACAAGATCCTGAACTGCATCGCTTTAATTATGCCAGCGCAAATTTCATTCATTTGGTTAAGCCTGGGAGCTACAGAAAGAGCTATTTCCAGGTGTGCTGGTTTAATTATTGCATGCCCTGGATTGCCCACGGTGCACAGCTGCATGGCCGGGCTTTGTCGGGCTCTCCTGCAGACCGGGACAGGTTCGCAGCCATCAGCACGGCGGTGCCCCGCTCACGCCTCTGCGCAGCCCAGCGCACGGGCTCTGCTTGGGTCAGATAAATGGGTTTTAACCTGATTTGTACTGTAATCTCCATGTCGACAGGCTGTCATCACGCACAGGATAAAACCCCAGCTCCTGTGGCCGGGGGCCCGTGGGGTTTCACCGGGCAGCTCCTGCCAGCAAGGCTGGCCGATGATTCCAAGCCAAGTGCCTTTCCTGTCCTGACATCCCAGGGACACCTCTGGACCGTGGGCGCTTGCAAAACGGCTTTTGTTTGCTTAACTCCTTGCACTGGAGCAGGCAGAGGCACAGTTCCCACTGTCCTGTCCCTCCTCCACAGGCAGGAACAGGGTGACAATCCTGCTGCCCATGGCAGGCAGCTCAGTGCCAGCCCTGCCATCCCACCCCTGGCAAAAAATAGCACCTTCTGTGTGCGTTATTTGTACTTTCCTTTTCTGAACGTGCCTTAAAAAGAAGGGTTTGGTTTTCAAAGAAACAGCATTTCAATTACATTCTTCTCTGCTCGTCCAGCTCTTCTCTGTAACCCCATTGCCGTACAGAGCATCGAGCGTGCGTGGGACGTGGTGGGATTTTAACTGTAATTCACGGACAGATATAAAATGCCAGGGTTATTATGAATTTTATTCAGGAGAGATTAAATGTTACTGGTTCAGCAGTGCCTCTTTCCATGCTTCCTGTGCAGCAGCTTCTGTTTAACCTCTCAGCTCACAAAATTTATTGTATTGTTTGTGGCTCACTGTAATTCTCCAGGTTTTCAAATAATCCCAGGAAAAGAGTTAACTGGAGCCTCTGCCTTAGTCTACATCCACTGCAAAGCACGTGGAGCCAAAAGCTGTCTTTCCTGACACCCTTGGTAAGTTCCTTGGGTTCATCTGGGAAAACTGGCATTGTGAATTTCAAAATTATGTCAGTGGGAGATGGGTCAGGAGCACTGCAAGGACCAGGGAGCACCGAAGCCTGGGTCCCAACGTTGCAGTCAGTGCTTGGGCAAGGCTCTCACCCAGCTCTCATGGTGTTGCAGGCTAAGCCGGTGCCACTGGACTCACAGCAGGGCACAGGGTTTTACTGGTACCAGAAACTATTCCCCAGGCAGATACATGGGGAGTTGTGGTGAATGGCCTTGGGAAGGAGGGTCTGTGATGTAGCTCGTAGCTAGATTTTGATGGCCATGATGATCACTGATGGCCATTGCAGTGGAATGCAGAGCACTCCCAGACATGGATTCAGACTGATTCTCCTGGGATTTGTCCATTTTTCATCACTTAACACAGACACAATGAGGTTTTGCACACACACTCCCACAGAGGCAACCCCTTTCCTAACTTCACTCTCTTCTGAAAAGCTTCAGAAAGCTTTTCCCACTGCCATAGCCTAAACCCTCCCTGCTGCTGCCAGAGCTCACTCACCCTTCTCTGCTCCCTGTGGAGAGACTTCACCCCTCCTTTGCATATCCTGCCTACACCCCACAGACCTTCCCCAGCAGAAAGAGGTGGATGTTTTGAAACCAAAGGGTTTTCTTTCATCTATTCCCATTTCTCCTCTGGCTCTGCCCTGCTGCACCTCTCTGGACGTGCATTGCACATGTAGCACACCCAGCACACGCCAGCCCTGCTCATCCATCTCACACACCTTAATCAATGGGAAACTTGAGGAAAAGCCCATAAACTGGATGGGAAGTGAGGATTGGATTTGCAATGTGTTGGTGCTAATGGAAACCATCCTTCACTGCATAATCAGAAGGAATGGCCACCCACAACCCATCATTTCTGCCCAGGGTGCTCACAGGGTAGCCCTGTGAGGACATGTGGGGTGATGAGCCCTGGAGGCTCCAGTGTCCCTGCAGTGATAACCCACAGTGATTTCTGTGAGCAACGTCTTATGGTGAGCTCAGAGTCACCAAACTCCCCATTGCCTGCAAATTGTGGCAGCAAATTGTCACATCCCTAATGCCAGCACGACACTGCACACAGAAACCCTCCAAATCCCCATTTTGCTGATAATTGTAATTTCCCAGGATAAGCCTCCCTGTGGCACAGGGACTCACCTCTGTCTGGCCCCTCCATGTATTTGCTGCCTGCAAATGGGTCAAAGCCAGCCCAGTGCAGGAGCTGCCTGAGGATTTTGGCCCTGTCTGATGCAGAACACGCTCTCTATAAATTTCCCTTGGATTAATCTTGTGGCTGAGCTGGGAGTACTTCCCTATTTCCTCAGGCTGTCACGAGCTTACCTGCCCAGTGGCAGGGCTGGTACAAGTGGGTGGCACCAGACTGTGATTTTCCTCTCCAGCTCCAAGTTGTCCTTATGGTTCCTTGGACACTCCCTTGCCCTCCCACACCCAGGTGGGTTTTGCAAATCTGTTTGGGGCTCAGGAGGATGTTTGTATTCAGATGGATGTGGAGTGGGTCTTGCACCCCAAATACCAGTCAAATCTGGTCAGGGACTGGAAAACAGATGACACCCACTCTGGGACTCGCAGCCACCCTGAGACCATCTCTGCTGGAGCCTGTGGATGCAGCTGCTCATTGTCAGGGCCCTGGGAGCCCCGGGCACATTTCTGAAGCTCAGATATGATTCAGGCGAAGCTCTGTTGTGATGTGAGTGGATGCAATGCCACTGAAATATCCTTTCATTTTGGGCAGTCATCAGCTCCCTGCCGGCCTTGGCCCACATTGGCAGAGAGAGCTGTGGAACAGAGCATCCCTGGCCCACTCCTAAGCCCGGCCTTCGTATGTGCCACCACCTTCTCCAATCAAAGCCCAATTTCTGATATCCCACGAGGTCGCTGCTGTTCCCTGAATGGCATCCGTGGGAGGCAGACTCAGCACTCCAGCCCATCTACCCCAGCCTGTAACTTATGGTGCTGCCCCTCGGGTGTCCACGGCCAGGTTTATCCCCAGAGTCCTGTCCCAAACCTCTCCCCACCGGCCAATTCCTCCTGGCCTTTCCCAAGTCCACGAGGAGCTGGCTGGGGTTTGCCTGGGCGTGCAAGGAGGGTGCCAGGGGGTGCTGGGGGTGGAGTGGAGATGGCCAGGGCATGTGGGGGCAGTGCTGAGGGATGCAGGGGGGAGGTGCAGTGGGATGTGCTTGGGAGGGTAGTACAGGGGGATGGGG